CAAATATTATATTACTATTATATTTATATAATGTATAATTGATTAATTTAATAATATTATATTACTATTATATATTTCACACACACACACACACACATATTTAACTTTTATTTCTAAACATTTTGATATTGTAATGCACAGATATTATGACAAAAATATTATGGAAAATTATGACAAAAATAATTTTATACCTAGAATAATATTACATTATTGTGATTATATTAATTAATTTATTACTATTAAATTAAATGAATTTCTTAGAATAAATTATCATTTATAATATAATATCATTTTTATATATTTAAAATTAATTTATAATATTTTATAATTAATATTTTATTGCTATTACATTTATATAATTTATCAACATGAACCAATAATGTTAAAAAACCTTTTAATTTGACATTTAAATTTTTTTTGTTAAAACTATTTTTGTTAAAATTAAAACTATTTTTGCGCCCTTTGTGTAGTTCTGTTGATGTACACGAGGGGGAGTCCAAGTGTGCACTTTGCAAGACCATACTACAAAGATTTATTATTTTAACAGAACAAAACTGAGTCAGAATTAGTTTCTACTCACATATGTTCTTTTATGTTCGTATATCTCTCAATTATTGAATAACCCATGTCGAATCAATGAAACGCAAAGCGACTCAAGAGTTCAAATGAGGCTTAGGCTAGAGAGGCATATCTTGTATCATGCAAAGCTATGCAAATACTTGTCAAGACTTTGGATCGTCTACTCATGCAGAATACAATTTAGTCTTAAAAGAATCAATGGCAATTTTAAAAGAAAGTATTTCAGTCGATCAGTCTTTCTCAAGGGCAGAGACCAAGGAGTGGGTCTGAGTCTTGACCATATAAAGCACTAGGCTAAATATAACAGCCTGCCTGCTCACTCTCTCCTGTCTTGGAATACACGTCTTGTAATTTAAAATCGCGAATCGTGTCGCCTATTTATGTTTGCATACCTATACTAATGCACCATGTTTGGTCAGAGATGTGCGGAATGTGTTTATAATACCAAGCCATAGGCGACTTTTTGGCCATATAGTTCGCGAGTGACGTCACACATACAGCGCGAGCACAAAATATATGGCGTGACGTCACTTTATTTTGACGTCTGAGGAAAAAAAGAGCAACCTGGGTCCGAAAGCAATATTCACAACCATCCTCAAACATGAAAACAGACTCTTATCTGTAAATAATAGAGGTGTGGCATGCCAAAAGTGTCAGGAAAAGATGCGTGAAGAAGGCGGTGATGCTCCATATAGCTACTCACATCTGCGGCTTTCTTCTCAGCCAGCTCCACTTTTATTTCTAAACATTTTGATATTGTAATGCACAGATATTATGACAAAAATATTATGGAAAATTATGACAAAAATAATTTTATACCTAGAATAATATTACATTATTGTGATTATATTAATTAATTTATTACTATTAAATTAAATGAATTTCTTAGAATAAATTATCATTTATAATATAATATCATTTTTATATATTTAAAATTAATTTATAATATTTTATAATTAATATTTTATTGCTATTACATTTATATAATTTATCAACATGAACCAATAATGTTAAAAAACCTTTTAATTTGACATTTAAATTTTTTTTGTTAAAACTATTTTTGTTAAAATTAAAACTATTTTTGCGCCCTTTGTGTAGTTCTGTTGATGTACACGAGGGGGAGTCCAAGTGTGCACTTTGCAAGACCATACTACAAAGATTTATTATTTTAACAGAACAAAACTGAGTCAGAATTAGTTTCTACTCACATATGTTCTTTTATGTTCGTATATCTCTCAATTATTGAATAACCCATGTCGAATCAATGAAACGCAAAGCGACTCAAGAGTTCAAATGAGGCTTAGGCTAGAGAGGCATATCTTGTATCATGCAAAGCTATGCAAATACTTGTCAAGACTTTGGATCGTCTACTCATGCAGAATACAGTTTAGTCTTAAAAGAATCAATGGCAATTTTAAAAGAAAGTATTTCAGTCGATCAGTCTTTCTCAAGGGCAGAGACCAAGGAGTGGGTCTGAGTCTTGACCATATAAAGCACTAGGCTAAATATAACAGCCTGCCTGCTCACTCTCTCCTGTCTTGGAATACACGTCTTGTAATTTAAAATCGCGAATCGTGTCGCCTATTTATGTTTGCATACCTATACTAATGCACCATGTTTGGTCAGAGATGTGCGGAATGTGTTTATAATACCAAGCCATAGGCGACTTTTTGGCCATATAGTTCGCGAGTGACGTCACACATACAGCGCGAGCACAAAATATATGGCGTGACGTCACTTTATTTTGACGTCTGAGGAAAAAAAGAGCAACCTGGGTCCGAAAGCAATATTCACAACCATCCTCAAACATGAAAACAGACTCTTATCTGTAAATAATAGAGGTGTGGCATGCCAAAAGTGTCAGGAAAAGATGCGTGAAGAAGGCGGTGATGCTCCATATAGCTACTCACATCTGCGGCTTTCTTCTCAGCCAGCTCCAGTTTCTCCTGTGCATCTTTAAGAGCCTCAGAATATTTGTCGAGCTCATCCTCCGTGCCCTTCAGTTTCTTCTGCAGTGCCAGGAGGTCATCCTCAAGCTGCGCGTGTTTGAGTGATTGATTGGCAGACAGCAGTGAACAGCGGGAAGCAGAGTGCGCGTGGTGTGGCGGGCAAAGAGACCGACAGAGAAAGAGACGGGAAGAAAGAAAAGTTAGGGAGATTCAGACAGGAACACACAGGAAAATACCTTGGTGGCGACCTCCTCGGCGGACAGGAGCTTCTCCTCGACGCTCTGGTACTCCTCAAGCACTTTATCACGCTCGTCCTCCGTTACGCGCAACCTCTTTTCCAACTGAATTAGTTCGTCTTCTAACTACACATGCATAAATGACAGTTTTCATAACAAATGAGGTAAACTTTTATTAGAAATGTTACTAAACGTCTATTTTAAATACTAAACATGCTGTTTAACCCTTGCTTGTGGTCTCGGAGACCCAAAGGCTTATTTAATAGCTCAAAAATATACTTAACATGCATTTGTTTTATTTATTGATTTATTTTTACAGTGTGCTTTCTTGGGATCATACTTCTTAAAAGTTTGTGTACTTACCACAAAGGGTTAAAGCATCAATAGTATATACCAAACGAGTTTTAATTTGGTCAGAAGAATATTTTGAAGCGAAGGTTTTAATTTTGAAATTAGGCTACTACAGTCACAGTGTTGAAAGAACAGCCCACTAAAACGGTTGACTGAATACTTCAGTTTAAGTAGTCTAATCCAAAAGTTAGGCTACAGCCTACTGTCATTATCTCATTCAACCATTTTGAGTTTAATTAGCCTGCTAATGATGAAAATATAGTTGAAACACTGAAAACGAATAAAATCGAGTAGAAGTTACAGAAATAGGCTATTATTCGACAGTATAGGCTAGTTGATCCTGTATCAATGGAACATTAAGGGTTAATGAATTCAAGGTTACATGTTTCGGCATTAGATGTGTGACAATAAAAGGGGCATTGAAAAAAGAAATAGGGCATTAATTGATATTGAAAAGTTTAATTCTCGTACTCGTTACTTTTACCCTTCTTCAGTCACTATAAATCCACTCAGGCGCAGTAATAATCCATTTATCAAGTAGCAAGCGGGAGCGTTATGGATAACTTTTAAAAGTCCTCATAAAAACCGCAGACCTGTTTGCTCCTGTCCTCCGCTGCCTTTTTGTCTCCCTCAGCCTGCTCAGCTCTGTCCAAGGCGTTCTCCTTGTCGAGCTTGAGCATCTGCATCTTCTTCTTAATGGCATCCATGGCTGCTTATGGGTTGCTCGGCTGCAAAAGAGAAATGTCCAGAGAGGAGCGAGGGTCAGAAGCGCTTGGGACTGACTGAACGCAGACAGAGCTGGAGTGCGAGCGCCCGCTCCTGTGCGCACTCTCAAATACGCACTTTCACGGGAGGGGTTACTGAATTCCTCTGGACATTCAATACTTTTTAGGAAACAGCCGCATCGGGCTGATTCTCCATGCCCCGTGTCTTTTTTTTATGGATCTGAGAGGCGATTCGCTGCTGCTCGACATTTGACCGTTTATATGCCTATATAAGGGGTGTGATGGGCAAGGCGAACTCCTCAAGACGTCTTCACACATACAGACGGGGGTCTCGAGACGCTTTCGACGTTCATCAAAACGCAACGCTCATGGAAGGAGATGCAATCATCTGATTCATTTTATTTTAGGGGTTCAAAGAAAATGTTACAAAATACAAATACAACAACAACAACAAAAAACAGCTCCTTAGTTTTTTTTTAATCATATATTATATTTTCCTTTGATTTAATCCAGAGAAAGGTGTATATTTGCTCCTGATGTGATATTATTATTTTTTGGAGAGAGAGGCAATATTTGAAATATTCAACATCACACACACACACACACACACACATATATATATATATATATATATATATATATGTTAGTGCTGTCAAACGATTAATCGCATCCAGAAAAAAAACTCTCATTAAACTCTCAAACACCCTGCAGTTCCTTTATGAACCCCAGTTTGGGAAACCTTGACGTAATGTAATGTTTAAAGCACTTCATGTTGTTAATTACAACAAATGTAATATAGGCTATTTTCTTACTCTCTTTTTTTATATCAATATGGTACAAGATTATCTTATTTAAGTCGATGTGATAAACAAGTTTGGTCAAAAGTAATCTAAAAGTAATCAGAAAGTAGTCTGATTATATTACCTGAAAAAATGTAATTACATTACCTGATTACATTACCTGTAATGTAATGGATTACGTTACTAACTACAATTTTTATCATGTAATTTGAAATCAGTAACGGACTACAATTTGTGAGTAATCTACCCAGCTCTCTCTATATATATATACACATCCATTTATTTAAAAAAAAAAATTACAAATTAATGAATTAATAAAAAATAGAATAATTAACTAGGCCTGAAAGTCTCCTCAAAAAAAGTTTAGAAAATAAATAATTAATTATTGTACTTTTTGCAATTAAAAAGAATATATATTATGGAATTTATTGTAATAAAAAAACAATTAAAATAACATTTTTAATTTCCGTGGCATTTTTGTCACTTTCAGTGGCATTTTGTGACCCTGATGACCTGAGGTTACTCCATCAGTATTGTCCTAAATAAGTTATTTGGGATAAAAGATCCATCAACCTCACAGAAAAGTGTTGAATCAAGAGTCATCGATGACAGAATAACTCAAACTCTTATATTTCCCGACACTTTTAGACTCATGATAACTCATCATCAGTCTGGTCTGAGCCTTATCAGACCTCAAATGTGCCTTTGTTTCTACACTTCTGCATGATACGAATTAACAAAAACATTGCATGGGCTTATAATGTCATAAACAGGCTCAGCAATGTGCCTTTATGCATCCCATGATAGATGCAAGAGGAGCTTCAGTTTGTTTCTTTGGGATATTGAGCGCACTGAATACTTTGTTATCCTTCAGTCTGCCCTTCTCCTCCTTATACAAGCTTCTCAGAGTATTTTTAGGGCTGTCTTAATGCCCGAGCACCTGGCCCAGTCTTTAAATTACAAATTTCAAAACACTTAGACAAGTGGTCAAACATAATGTGATAATTCCCTAAAATAACCCCAGTCTTAAATATAATACCCAGTTTTCTTGCACTATTTCTGTTCTCTTGTAATTGTATTAAATAGCTCAAAGCAGTTCGGTTTGCTTTTGAAACTCACATCATTTTCATTAAAGGTTTCTTGCTTGCATGCATCCAGTCCCCAAATGTCATTATTGTATATTGAAAAAAAAAATAATAATAATAATAATTACAAAGAAACAGTAGCCAATTAAAAGTACAATTATGAAGTAGAAAGAATGAAATAGTTTTTTTTTAAATTCTCCAATAAGCTTTATTTACAACTTCAAAAAATATTTTTACAGTGTAATGAGCATTGCATTACAGTAATGAAATGAGTAATGAGTTTAATTGTCTTTAAAATAATGCAAAAATCATAAAAGTCCTTCATTTTTAATAAAAAAAATTCTTCTCATTTTCATCACTGTTATAAAGAACAATCACAAATTATATGAGAATGCAATTCAAAGATGACTGTTATCTTGTGTTTATGACAGACAGAGCCCTATTTTGCACGTCATTTCCTGTTATTGCAATGCAAGAGCTTTAACAAACGTCCAGTTTTTTCCAAGGCTTGTGGTGAAAAGCTAGATTCAGTGCAGCTGATATAAACAAGCCCCAAAGAACTATGGGTAAATATTTTTATTAAACACATAACATAAATACCCCTGAGGCCTGCAACAGTCATAGCATTCAAGCCAATTTGGGAATTTCTTTGGGTATCATTAGAAGGAGCGTTAGACAATAGTTTATAATTTGGAAAACAATATCTGAGAAGATTAAAATGAAATGCAGTCCTCTAAAGACATATTATGTAAAAATATTGCCCACCATCTGGTTGGTAGTTTGGTAGTAAGCAACTCATTGAGACAGACTAAAATGATTTCCTCATACTTTTCCCACTAGAAAAGAAAAAGTTTCTGACAGTGTGAACTGATACTTGGCTTTGTTCAACTCTTTATTAAACACTGTTTATATGAGGATCATTTTGGATTAGTCCACAATCCCTCACAGTACAAATTTATAGTGACAGGCTGGGTAGAGATGAGAGGGAAATGTTATCTGAGACCTTTTAATATTCAGATTTCTCCAGTCCAACTCATACAAATCATACCTTTTATATTTGAAGAAATACGCATGAATGGAACAGACTGATGGACATGATTATCTTATTGTTTCTCCCATCTATTCCAGCATATAAAGACTAACAAGTACCAGGGATGATAAGGAAAGCTGAGGTTGCTGTGGAAAGGATATTGTTTATGTCTTCTTGTTGTTCTTTCTCCTTTGGGTTTCTGACGGTTTATCATCTCTGGTGATCTTGTACCATAACATTGGTTTTATGACACGAGGCCCTCCATGCTAGGGATCTGCGCTGGCATCAGATGCATGTTTATCTAAATCTGCGGACCCTTGGGATGTGACCTCAACTGTGGAACACTGTCCTTTCCCAAACAGAAAGCAAGTACTTTAAAATACACAGTGGAAACAAATGGACAATTGTGTTATAACTGTGTTAAAACTGATTTGTAAATAGAACATTATAGAAAGCATTAAAACAAAATTGTCATGATCAAATTTATTTGATAGAAAAAATGCATTAAAGGGCACCAAATATGCCCCCCTTTTTTTTTACAAGATGTAATATAAGTCTCATGTTTCCCCAGAATATGTCTGTGAATTTTCAGCTCAAAATACCCCACAGATTATTTATTATATAATTTTGAAAATGCCTATTTTGAGTGGAAGCAGAAACACCTGTTTTAGTGCATGTCTCTTTAAATGCAAATGAGCTGCTGCTCCCCGCCCCCTTTTCCAGAATAGGGCTGTGCTCCTATCTCAGATACTCTGCCAAAAACATCTGTTTGTTTTTTTTATCATCTTGTCTATCACGCTGAAATCATGCGTTTTAAAGCCATATCAGTTTAAACTTCTGAAATACAGTTTTCTGAGCGCACACATCCGAAGCACACGGACAGAAAGCGGCTGTCACATGACATGTGAGTACTAAACTAAGTTCTCTTTCATCTCTTATTGTTCTTAAACTGTCAAATACACACAAGTTTAAGTTAAAAACACACATACTGTAAGTTACAAAAACACAGTCGTTTATGTCTGTGAAGTTAAACAGCTGGGCAAGAAATCGCATGTTTATATTAGAATGGTGTATTAAGTGGCAGCAGCGTTATATACAGTAGCTACTACTGTCTATGCTGTTAATTTGACCCAAACAATAAAATAAATACAGAAAATCACTCACTGGTCTTGACTGAATAACTTCTATAGCTTTAATAAGAAGGCATTTCTTATTTGAATGCTGCATTTAAATGCACTAGTGTGAAGATAAACATGGCGGATTGTGTGCATTTCATTCAGGGCGGGGTCTCTGCTAATACAGCAGTGCCCGTCAACAGTTGTGGGCGGGGCCTGCAAAAATTGACATAACATTTTACAGATTCTGCGAACGGCTTGTTCTGAGACACTGCTTATGATTTATGGGGATTAAACAAAAGGAGCGGGTGGATTTTTATCATTATAGAGTGGTTGTGTACACACACTGCAACACACATTTATGTTCAAACAACAGGCAAAAGTGAATTTTGCATAATAGGTGCCCTTTACCATGCATTAACATTTGTCATTCACAATGTCTAAATTGATCAAATTCATGCTTCAAAGACCACAGTATCTTAGTCCTCCTTAAGCCTCTACTAATGACTGTCCGGAAGCTTCTGAGGGGACTCGAGGTCACACTTCCCATGTCTACTGAGGATTATGGAATGAAAGGCAAAGGAAATCAGAGAAGCTGAGAAGAACAAGAGTCTTTCTGCACATACTTACATATAGAACTCAACATTAAATGTTAAGATGTATTTTAAGCCGTTGACCAAATGGGCAAATATGATTATTACTATTTCTCATATGCAGGGCTTATGTTTTGAAGCATTTGTGTTATGGATATTGTGTTATGTGGCTAAATATAAAGATGCAATATTATTTTTCTAAGTAACTTATGCCTGGTGGGTATTAAGGGGGAAAAAAGACTTACAGTATTGCTTGAGAACGAGGGACTAAGCTAAATCATAATGGTCTGGTAATCACTCACAAAAATGCCCATTTCCACAGCAGGAACTTTCCCCAGGAACTAGGGACTTTGGGCCGGTACTCAGTGTGTTTCCACCACAGGAACCAGCATCTAAATAAAGTTCTGTGTAAAAATTTGCCCCTCAGAATTTCCCTGCTAGGTAGTACTTTTTCAAAGGTCAGGAACTTTCGGGGGTGGGACTTGGGCACTGAAGATGCTGATTGGTTAAGTTCACGCAGC